TCTAGAGACTAGAAGTCTAAGCTCAAGGTATTGGCAGGTTTGGTTTCTTCTCAGACTCCATGGCTTGTAGATGGCCATCTTCTCCCTGCATCTTCTTGTGGCCATCTCTCTGTGCGTGCATGTGCCTGCTGTCTCTGTGTTCTGTTCTCCTGGTCTTGTAAGGACACCAGTTGTATTGGATCAGGACTTATCCTAATGACCTTGTTTTTGCTTAATTACCTCTTTAAAGGCCTTATCTCCAAATACAGTCACACTCTGAAGTACTAGGAGTTAGGTCTTCAACAAATAAATTGGGGTGGGGAGGGAAGTCAGCCCAACAACACCCATGCCATCAATTTCTCAAAATTGTGCCATATTTCAGTTTGCTTTATATTTGAACCACACATGTTTTATAAAGACTTTTTTTTTTTTTTTTTTAAGAAATCCCTGAGTATCTTTGTTCTGTCTTTTTGAGAAAAGTGACATGTGCCTTTATCACATCTCTAAGGTCTCCCAGGTCCTTAATCACACTACTATTGTAAAGAATCTGCTTCTTTTTGAAAAATAATCTTCCCAGAGCCCTCTTTTTTCTTCCCCTTAATTTGTCCTGATGGCTTTCTTTGCCAGCTGCATCACTGTCAACCTGAGATTTTATTTTCATTGAGTTCCTGGGTTGGTTTCCTTTTTTCTTAAATCCTGTGTACTCCTCCTTCTTGGATTCTTGCTTTGCTTTGCTGAAGTACATCCGTGGCATACACAGAGACATGCTGCTAGACATGCTGTTCTTTCCTTTCAAAAAAGAACTCACTACCCAGCTGCAAGGAGGATGGTTAACTAGTAGCCACCACATGTTAACTCCTCTAGCCGAGGTTCTAAGCCTCTGGCCAATGACTGAGCAAGGTGGTGATGCTAGGGCCCCACCATTTCTGCCCAACTTGAGACTCCTCTGAAAGGAAATCTTTGCTCTGGAGCCACCAACAGGGTTGGCAGAAACTTTGTCGGGTCTGCATCATTGTCTAATGACTACCTCTACCCAATCCTGTGTCCTCCCCTTTTCCATTCACAGATGTTACTCCCCTGTAAAATGTTGTGCTCTAATTCTGTTTGAGCTTCAGCTTCCTGGAGAACCCATCTAGTATAACATCCTCAAATAATGTTTACTTACTTTTTATTTGTTTCAGAAAGGAATCATAGATTTAAACTTTATGAGACCTTGCAAGTGTGAACTATTTGTCCTCATATGTGATTACTACTTTGATCGGTATACAATTCTAGGCTTAAAATTATTTCTCTGCAGAACTTTGAAGGCCATGCTCCACTGTCTTCTAACATCCAGTAATGACGATGATAAGTCTGATCATAATCCAATTCTTATTCCTTTGTAGCCAGCCTAGTTCTTGTTTAGATTTTGTTTTGTTTTGTTTTGTTTTTCTCCATCTTTGAAAGTTATAGGGTTTCATCTTTATCCTCAATGCTTCTGGATGTCACTAGGCTGTGTCCAGGCATAGTTGTTTTTCATTCATCCTAACTTGCATGATCCTTTCCATCTGAGGACCAATGTCTTTCTTTTATTCTTTCCCCTGCATTGTCTCTGTTTGCTCTTTCTGGAGCTCATATTAGATACTCTTTATGTCTTCAGGATCTATCTTTTCTTTCTTTTTTTGGGGTGTGTGTGTGTGTGTGTGTGTGTGTGTGCGCGTGCGCGTGTGCGTGTATGTATGAAACCGGATCTCATGCTGTCCCAGGAGCGGGAGTGCAATGGTGCAATCAATCATAGCTCACCGCAGCTTTGAACTCCCGGGCTCAAGAGATCCTCCTGCCTCAGCCTCCCAAGTAGCTGGGACTACAGGTGCACACCACTATGTCTAGCTAATTTTCGTATCTTTTGTAGAGATGGGGGTCTTGCGTTGTCGCCCAGGCTTGCTTAAACTCTTGGCTTCAAGCAATCCTCCCGCCCCGGGCTCCCAAAATACTGGAATTACAGAGGTGAGCCACCGTATCCAATGTCATGTTTTTATTTTTTGCTTTCCACATATTTTCCATTCTGTCTTCTATATCTTCATAGTTGATCTTTAGCCATGACCAATATGTTACTTTACACCTTAACAATCATACTTTTATATTCAGGAACTCTCTTCTTCCCTAATTGCTCCTGTGAATATCACTGTACTCTGGTTTTCATTGCTGTAACACTCTCTTGGATGTCCCTGAGGATATCCCTAACTACTTTTTTGTTAAATAGTTCTGTTCTATTCCTTGCATTATCTCTGTTTTCTCCTCAGTCATTTATTTAACTTGTTCATCTTGGACTTTCTTTTTTAAGTTGTTATTTCCTCCCAAATGGCTGGTAAACACAATATGAAGGAATACATTGATATCTGTAAAAATGACTGTGTCCTGAGGACAATCAGGCTTTGCATTTATGGTGCAGGGGTGGGAACAGCCATGCTGGCCTAAGATCCCCCAACCTGACAAGTCAAGGAAGAATTTGCTCTAAGAGTTGGGTGGGGTGGCCTTCCTGTTCCCTCCATCTCTGTTAGGCTCTACTCTGCCCTACTCCCTAGCCCTAAACCACTCTACAGACTCTAGACTGGCAAATCTACTCTGCTTAAGCCATTCTCCAGTGGGATCTCCCTGGCAAAAAATTCAGCAGCAGCTGCACAATGTTGTGGGCAGCTGACCTCTGTGCTGCTCTCTCTGTGCCTGGAGTCTCTTATGAGCTCCATGGGGAGAATGGTTTTGTCTCTGCTAGCTTGCAGAATGTGCATTTGAAGCTGTGCTTTTCTCCATTATAATCTCATTTGATTTTCACCTTCCAGAAGTTATTTAAAATGTCTATTTGTTAATTATACCTACTGTAGTTTTCCATGTTGCAATAGATTTTTTTTTTCTTTTGTGTATTTTTATCATCTTTTCAATGTACTCCTGGGGAGGAAAGGGTGTAGTCGTATGCGCCCAACCTTCATACATGTAATCCTGATCCCTGGACACAGTGGGTGAGCACCTAAGTGAGGCCAAGAATAATGGAGAGTTTTGCAGTCAGGCCTGAGAAAGAGAAGTGACTCTCTGTGTGACAGACCATGAAGAATAAAGCTCCAGAACTTTTAGGGTGGGGGAACAGCACCATGTTTCCAACTGTGTGCGCTAGAGAGGAGCTGAGAAGCACTGACAGAGAAACTTTTAAGGAGGCCTAGTGACATTTCATCCTTGGTTTCTTGGGGACACCCTTGTATCATTATAATAAATGTCTTGCTTATACTAGCTCTTGTGAATTTCTATCACTTACAAGTAAGAAGGCCAAAAATTATGCATGTTTGGCCTCCCTGAAACCTGTTACTCAAGTAAGGTTGGCCGTTGGGGAAAAGGGCTTGGCTAGGTATAGCAGCTTGCGCCTTAATCCCAGCACTTTGGGAGGCCGAGGCTGGAAGATCACTTGAAGTCAAGAGTTCAAGACCAGCCTGGGCAAAAAAGCTAGAGCCAGGTGAGGTGGTGCATGCCTGTAATCCCAGGAGGCTGAGGCAGGAGAATCACTTGAGCTCAGAAGTTTGAGGCTGCAGTGAGCTATGATTGCACCACTGCACCCCAATCTGGGTAACAAAGCAAGACTCTGTTTCTAAAAAATAATGATAAAAATAATTTAATAAACACCCTGCTTGCCACTCTTGTGAAATAAGGAGAAAGTAGGACTAAAAGGAGGCTCTTTTCTCTTAGCCTAATTTACATGGTTCTGTTCATGAACTTGAGCCAGAGGGGTACAACTCACCTCCCCCACCTCTCAGAGGTCATTTTCTCAGACTCTCAGAAACGCTGTATAACTTTAAAGATACATCAGCTTGTTACATGCAAAAATGGAAAAATGTTCACCAGGAAACAAAAATAATCTCCTCATGTTTGTGCAGCCTTAAGGAAGCCGCTTTCCCACTTAAAAATCCAGCCCTTTCCTTTTCTCTAACTTCCTATTTTCTCTTTCCTAATTTTACGTTTTATTAAAGCTTTTACTTTTGGGAACTACTATCTTATAGGGGAGATTTAAGAAATAATTCCAATCTCCCTTCCACAAATATTACTATAATAACATTAACACAGAAACTCAGTTTGCCCAAACCAACATGATGCCTTCTTGGTTAAAAGACCCCTAAGGGCAAAATCCAGGTCGTTGGATGGTTTTTATGCTATGCTAAAAACTGAGTGGGAATATGGCGGCAAACCTTTAACAATTTATAAACGCTGACTATGACCTTACAAAAATAGGCCGACAAAGCAGGATTATAGGCCTATTTGAGATTGAATAACTTTGTTAAAATTAATCATAAAATAGGAACCAGATCAAAAAGACATTTTATGTAATCTTAATCTTCTTCCCTCTCTTCGCTTAGCCGGGGGTTGGTGAGGGGACTTTCTCTAGGAACTTAATGACTCTGATGTCTTAAAGTACATGCAGTGGAACTAGCTCTGTCTACACAACCGCAGGCTTCAGTGGCGTCTTCCCAACCGGGCTTGCCGGCCGGGGGCGTCCCGAGAGCCTCGGGGCCTCCCCTTCACCCGGCGGAAGTTGGACGGGCGGCGCTGGTAAGGCCTCCCGGGCTTAAAGTGCAACGGACACTGCAGAAATCCAAACTGGTGGCATTCGCAGTTTGGGGACGCTAGAGGAAGTAATGATTTCTGGTTTGTTAACCTCAGGTGACAAAAATGCCGAGCCAGGCGGGAGCTGCACCTACAATCTTCTGATGCGTGGTCAGACACGTTATCCATTGCGCCACTGGTCTACCACGCAACTCCTCCACTGGCCGTTGAATTATTGCGTGTTGAGAACACACTCGGCAACCACTTTAAAGGGCAACGCAGGCTGGTAAAGGAAAAGTACGATAAGCGGGGGCGGTAGAGTCGCAGGGTCTTGGCACCGCGGGCCCCCGACACCTGGGTCGAGGGCCTTCACCCGGTCAGTCAGTCTAGCGAGCCAGAGCGCGCTGTCTTTCTGCGCACGCGTGGAGCACACAGGCCGACTCGCGGGCGCTGCGCTCAGTGCAATCTCCGGCTGCCTGGACTGGCGCTCCGATTCTTCTGTGCTGAATCTCAGGGGACGCCAACATGCATACACGTCCCTTCGATAGCTCAGCTGGTAGAGCGGAGGACTGTAGCTACTTCCTCAGCAGGAGACATCCTTAGGTCGCTGGTTCGATTCCGGCTCGAAGGAGACAAGTGCGGTTTTTATTCCAGCTCCCGATGACTTATGCCCCTTTCCTTGGGTGCCTTCAATGACACATTGCATTCCAACAAGCAGTTGGAAACTCTAGCGCGTTCTCCCCATTTTGGGCCTCCCAGCCTGCGCGGTAATTCTTTTTAGCTATCCCCCCGCGGGGACGTGCCCGGGCAGGTTCCCAGCGCAGCTGTGGGACTCCGCTCGGCCGAGCGACTGCCGGGTCACGGCTTCTGCATCTTTCTAACCGGTCTTTGGCATTGCTGGGCCCCCGAGTCACACAAGAGGCAGCGCCGGCTCCCGGGGGCCGGGCGGGGCCCTCTCCTCAGAGCCCCGGGCAGCTTCTGCGACCCGAGGGCTCGCAACGGCTGCCGTGAGGAGGTGGGGGGTCCGCGGGAAGAGGGATCTGGTGCTCCCGGAACCTGGGAATCAGAAAGAGAGAGAACACAATACCAAAAACAGGAAGCCTAAAAATGACACAATGTTACAGAGACAAGGCGGCACCCAGGCCGTTTTGCCCGCTCCCTTCGATAGCTCAGCTGGTAGAGCGGAGGACTGTAGGCGCGCGCCCGTAGCCATCCTTAGGTCGCTGGTTCGATTCCGGCTCGAAGGAGAGACTCATTTGTTTTGTTGCTTTGAACCAAAGAAATCTGTCTTTAGTGCTGAGTGTTCTGACCCTTCTCTAGAGGAACAGATAACGAGCCGTGCCCAACCGTGGGGGATTAGCTCAAATGGTAGAGCGCTCGCTTAGCATGCGAGAGGTAGCGGGATCGATGCCCGCATCCTCCAGTTTTCTTTCCTGTCCCGTACGGTTTTTCTTTCGATTCTCTCAGCCCACACTAGAGCTGAAAAGTCAGACGAAGTCAACTGAAGAGTAGGGCGAGCTCCAGGTTACCGCTCTAAAACTTCCCAGACAAGGAGTGGTGGGTGCTAGCAGTTTACCCTTCTAGCTTTAAATTTCTAGACCCATTTAATTGGGGGAAATTCACGAAATACAATTATTTCTGCTTCAAAATGGAGACAGATTGCCGTCACATGTATTATCCCTCAAAATCCTTTATGATTTGTGATAAGATGTCTGCATTTCCAGGGACTCATCTGAGGCTAAGCTGCCCATCGTTCGGGGAGACCCTCAGGGAAAACAAAGCAAGAAACAGAGAACTTGGAAACGGACACTGATTACTTTGAACGTTTGCTCAGCCGAGGAAGCAGGAACTGTTCGGCCCCGGGCGGACTGCCTGGCTCCGGACAGAGGACAGATCCGAGGTGGATGGATAAGGCAAAAGGTAGCCCTGCGAAGGTGAGTGGATAAAGTCCCTGGACACAGGGGCTGCCGTTGGAGGAGGTTCTTATGTCATTGTCCTCCAGTGGAAGTAACTGTGGAGAATTAACTAGAGACCAGCGATGAGAGAGAATTAATTGGATAAAAATTTTATCTAGGGCAGTCCTTGAGCGTAATTTTGTTAAGCAAAGACAAGACAAAAACAAAACGAGTAAAACCCAAACACACATCCACACACTCACTGAAAGATTCAGAGATTAAACAGAACACAAAGACTTTTCTGGTAAATAAAATCTCCCTATCCTAATTTTCAAGAAAAAAAGCTGTTGAAGCCACCCCGCAGTTCTTACAAGACAAAACACAAATCTTCCACACAAAAGCAGAAATACAGTATTATCCTTTGTGAGGAGTGCAGCAAATAAATGATATTTCTTCAGGGTCCTAGGCAACCTGTATACTTTTGTTACCAGTGTATACAACATGCTATGGTTTATTGCTATCTTTCATTTTCTACAGTGGTCTCCATTTTTACCTCGTTTTATTATTTTCAATAGTCTTTTAATTGAATGTATTGTAAATTACTTGAAATATAACATCATGATGTTCATAAAAACAAATTCACAAAGTAAGAAAAAGAATTCTTTTATCAGATGCCATGTCCCAGTTTCTAGTTTGGGATTATGGGCGTTCTAGCTGGCTGAGGGGAGGAACTGGCAGTGAAACTTTTAAGTGACCGAAAGAGCAAGAAGTAAGTAATAAGTCAAAGGAATAGCAAGTAATGCACCCAAAACCCAGTGGAGGACACACGTTTGGGGGAGGTGACCTGGGCCAAAACTCAAAGGATATCTCAGAGTCAGCAACCCAAACTGGGAATGGAATTCACGTACAAAGCTCAAAGGTATCAATCAGGAAGCAGTAATGCATGGTGGTTAGTCAGGCAGACTGTGAAACCTGATGGCCTTTCTTGGCTTTGCTACTTCTAACTGTATGACCACAGGCAGGTTGCTTGACATTTCGGTGCTTCAGTGTCTTTGTTTCTCAAATGGGGATATAATAATGATACCTACTTTTAATTAAGATATAACATGTAAAAGCCTTAGTACAGTGCCTGGCACATAGTAAACACAAAATAAACATTAGCTGTTATCAGTGTGCAAGGAAGGAAGAAACAGAAACATAAAGTGTCATTTCCCTGGCAAACTGCAGAGATTCGACACATTTCAGCACCTAGAGGCCTGGCAAGCATAGCATCATACAGTGAATGCCTGGGGGAATTAGTGTAAGGGTTTGTATATGTGTTTATATAAATATATATGGAAGTGCCTGGAAAGAGGTGCTTGGATCTACTGTGTAGGGAAAGTAGGAAGAACAATGCTAAAAATACAATATGATGGTTAGATATATTATGGTGTGGCCATGTAATGAAATATATATAGCCCTCAAAATTGTGTTTATTAAGAACTTACATTGACATGGGAAATGTTAATAATCATGCTTAGAAATAAAGTAGGTATAGAGCAATATAAACAAGCATAAGTTATTTATAGAAAAGACTAGAAACAGGCCAGCATGGTGGCTCATGCCTATAATCCCAACACTTTGAGAGGCCCAGGCAAACAGATCCCTTGAACTCAGGAGTTCGAGACCAGCCTGGGCAACATGATGAAACCCTGTCTCTAAAAAAAATACAAAAATTAGCTGTATGTGGTGGCATGTACCTGTGATCCCAGCTGCTCGGGAGGGTAAGGTAGGAAGATCTCTTGAACCTGAGAGGTCAAGGCTGCAGTGAGCAGTGATTGCACCACTGCACTCCAGCTTGGGCGACAGAGGGAGACCTCGTCTCAAAAAAAAAAAAAAAGAAGAAGAAAAAGAAAAAAAAAAGACTGGAAACATGCATTAAAATGTTAACAACAATAATGATCTTTGATAGTATGATTACTGTGATATATTTTCCTTAAAATTTTAAACTATTTTCTAAGTTTTCTGAAATAAACAATATTTTTAAATTGGAACTAGGGATGACTTTTAAAAAATTAACAGCTGACATCAACCCAGCACTTCCTACAAGCCGAGCACAGCTCTAGATACTTTACATGTTGTAACTTATTTCTCTCATAAAGAGAACACCAGGCCCAAATGGCTTCAGTACTGAATTCTACCAAAGAGTTAAGGAAGAAAAAAAATACCAATTATATACAAATTTTTCCAAAAAAAAATGATGAAAAAGGAGTACTTTCCAACTCATTCTATGAAGTCTCTGATACCAAAATTAGGCAAAGACATTACAGAAAAAGAAAACTACAGACCAATATAGCTTATGAATATAGATGCAAAAATTCTCAACAAAATTTTAGCCAAGTAAATCCAACAACATATAAAAAGGAAAATACATTATGACTAAGTGAGATTTATCCCAGGAATACAAGACTGGCTCAACATTCAAATTCATAACATTAAACAGATTAAAGAAAAAAAATCATGTGATCATCTGAGCAAATGCAGAAAAATCATTTGACCAAATTCAACATCCATTCCTGCTTTTAAAAACTGTCAGCAAATTTAGAGGGGAAGGGAACTTATTCAACCTGATAAAGGACATAAGTGAAACACATGCAGCTTACATTATGCTTAATATTAAAGAACAGTGCTTTCCTCCTAAGACCAAGACCAAGGCAAGGGTGTTTTCAGCTCTCATCAGGGCAATAAAGCAAAGGAAATGAAGTAAAAGATCTCCATATAGGAAAGGAAGAGGGAAAACTGTCTCTGTGTGCACATCTCACTTTTAAACAGTATTGGTTACATGTTGAAATGATAATATTTTGATGTTCTGAGGTTAAGTAAAATAATATTATTTTTATTTATTTTTAGATTTTTTAAATGTGGCTATTACAAAATTTAAAATCATGTATATGGCACATATTTGTCACATACATCTTATTTCTTTGGACAGTGCAAGTCAGAGAGATAGGCAAGGGCCAGATCACATCAGGTCTTGGGACCACAGTGAGGATTAATACCTTTATCCTAGAGGTGATGTGACCATTAACAGGATTTAAATAAGGGGTGACTTGTGAGAAGTGGACTGCAGAAGGCAAGAGTGAATTCAGAGAAATCAGTTAGGAGGCTGAGGTGGAGGAGAAGTGGGGTTGGGTCTGGGTGGGGAGGGTGGAGCCAACGTGTGGAGTTCAGACATAGGCCATTGGGAAGACCTTGGGCTAAAGTATTCGCTGCTTGTTGGGACTGTCGCTGCTTATTTCTGGCACATATATAATGAGTGTTTCTTATCCAAGAACACTTATCCAAGAAGTGTCCAGCGGAAAGTAAAATATGTTCATTTTTCTAACGTTTCCTCAGAGATCTTTATGATGAAGTAAAATTTATAAGCAACAGATTTGAAGAAGGAGTGGTTATCAAATGAACAAAAGATTTCAAGCAGAAGTTGGCAAACCATCTAATGAAAGAAATGCCACAGTGTTAGCTGCTGTTAAGTGCTTTTCAAGTTCATTTCTCTTTGATTTTAGATTTTGTAAGATGTTTCTTTTCATTAAAAATTTAAAAATCACGCCGGGCGCGGTGGCTCATGCCTGTAATCCCAGCACTTTGGGAGGCCGAGGCGGGCGGATCACGAGGTCAGGAGATCGAGACCATCCTAGCTAACACCGTGAAACCCCGTCTCTACTAAAAATACAAAAAAATTAGCCAGGCGTGGTGGTGCGCGGCCTGTAGTCCCAACTACTTGGAGGCTGAGGCAGAAGAATGACGTGAACCCGGGAGGCGGAGGTTGCAGTGAGCCGAGATCGCACCACTGCACTCCAGCCTGGGTGACAAAGCGAGACTCTGTCTCAAAAAAAAAAAAAAAAAAAAAATTTAAAAATCACATATCCAAGCTACTTATTGCCAGGTAGACAGCTAAATAGAAAAGACTGATGACACAGGCAGAGGGAAAACATGAAGTATTTTGTAGATGTCATGGGTCAAGTCCTCAGTGCAAAGGGATGGCAAGAATCTTTTTAAGGAAAGAGAGTTCTGGGTTATATTTTTTGGAATAACTTTTAAAGTTGTTACATGGAGGGAAATTTCTAAGCCAAATAATGGTTAGACAGTGCTTTATTTGGGCCACACCCTGAGCTCTAGGATACCAAAAGAAATAACATTATGTCTTCTGTGGTCAGATGGGTTATATCTGGCAGGACTGATAACCGAGCCTGGTGCTTGGAACACCAGCTCATTGAAATCCCAAATGAAGTGTGGCCTTCCCTCCACTGGTCATGAGTGGAGTTCTCACTAAAAAAGGGAGGGAGGGAGGGAGGGAGGGATGGATGGATGGATGGATGGATGGATCGATGGATGGTTGGACGGACGGGTGGATGCAGGCATGCATGTGTGAATATTGCAAGAAAGAATTAACAGCCTCACTGGCTTAGTTAAGAGGACCTGGTTTGCACAAGATTAAGTGTTGGCCTTTGTTTTGGCATGGGATTAAAATAATTCTCAGATTATATTGGTGCTGGGGTTGACCTGAAAGTCTTGGTCCACTGGTGCCCTAGTGCTCCAGCCCAACTAAACTTCCTTCTTCAGCAATCACCAACTCTCTGCCTTCACATTCACATCATCTGATGTTCTTTCCCTGTTTTAATTCTTTAGTCAGTCACCCCCTTTCTCACTTCCAGTGGGCACAAGAAAGCAAGAACACTTCCTTTCTACCTTAGAGGCTGAGCCAGGAGTAAGATCTGTCTTCCGACTCCTCTTGTTTTCTCTTTCATCAGGACTGCACTCTCTCTGCTCACTGTTTTGCTTCAAACCATATCTGTTTTTTATTTTCTTTTAGCTCTACCCTCCATCTAACCATAAATTCTCTGTTCTGTTTGATGAACAAATGGCTCCTTAAACTAAGGCTGGATTATTTTCAAGTACCTGGAATTGCAATTACCTGCACCAAAGACACAAAACAGAACATGGGTAAATGAAATGCTGAGGATGTTCTGGAATGTTCAGGATTCTTTGGGATTTTCTAATGT